ACAGTGAATTCCTTAAAGACTAAAGATAAATGCTAGTATAACAATGAGACAAATGATATTCTAGTGAAGAAGCTTCATTGAAAAAGAGAAAATTGCCTATGGTGAAAGTAGGACCAGCACCTTGGGGGTTTTCTCCTGTTATCTAAAAAAGAATCTTTTGTGGTGAAGTGTCATTACTGTCTGATAGTGCTGAAGGAAAGTAAAATAGGTCAGCAGAAATGTAGAGGATAATAGAGACAAGAAACAGCCAAATAGTTTTCTAAAAATCAAACATGTCCAGAAAAAACTAATTTCTTCTGATGTTTTTCTAAATCAGTAAATGATGGGAATGCTGTGAATGTAACAAATTTCTTTCTAATGCAGCTTTTGATGAATATTTGATGCTTTCATGAAATCTTGCAAACTGTATATTCTTCTGGATATGAACACTTGGGCAGAATAAAAACTAGCTGAAGTAAAGGAAGACTGTTAAAACATTTTGACAGTCTTTTTGGCTTTAGCAAAAAGAAGTACTGCTGATTTGAAGCTATTGTGCTACATTATTTCTCTTTTATCCACACTATTTTTTAATCCACACAATCAGCTGTGGATTGTGTACTAACAAATAGTGGCCTCTTTGAGGATATTTAAAAATTCTCAGTCATACATCTTATAATTTTCTCTTTCCATATAATTCTTACTGCAGTCAATCACAGGCCTGCAACAGGCAGGATTTTTTCCTCTTCCCCACCTGGATTTTGGTGGATCTCTGTAGGGGTTCTCCTCCACATGTATCCATTGACTCGTGCAGGGTCAAGGCCTGAGAGTTCAGGTTGGGACCACTTTGAAACAATGACCCTAAGTATAAAAAAGCCTGAGAATAATGACACTTATCAGAAAAAGGGCAAAATATAAACTCTTTGGGCTGGGTTCAGTTGCCTAAATATTTGTTCCATTTAAGATGGATTTGGCTTCAGCAGAGTGCTCGAGAAAGTTGTAGCTTTCATGCAGGTCCTGTGCCATATTTTCTGGCACTGTGTAGATGTCTCAGATGCCATAAATCATCAAAGTTTGCTAGACATCAAAGTTTATGCAGCTGAATGGAGCCCTTTAGCCTACAGGTAACCTTTTAATAAAATTTTCCTTGTTTGGCACTCTCATCAGTCTTTATTTCTGGTCTGTTTCAGGATTGCTAGCCAGCTTTGTTGTCTCTTGTAAAGCATTTATGAAACTCTAACTTATAGTTGTAAGCATGAGAAGTACAAATTTTACTCTTTCTTATTCTGCTTGCCACAGCATGTTCAGTATTGTAGCGGTGTTAGTCAGGGGTATGGTTTGGCCAATATTTTAAGCTCTGTCCTCATTACATCATAAAGGGAATGTGTTATCATAAACTTGCCTTAATAGCTAAATGGCATTTCTTGGTAAAGTGAATTTTATTTGTCTAATGTAACACCATGTTAAAAAGCATTATTGTCAGATGATTGTCCAAATTTTTACCAGTAAAAGGTGCACACATGTCAAGTGCATAATTTTAATGTATCAATAATTGCATTAAGGAGCATTTCTTACTTGGAAAAGATTAAATGTTGGTCCCTACACATATCATTTATTTCAAGAAAAAAATTAATTCATATCATAGATGTAATATTTTCTTAGTTGACATCATAAAAATAACCATAGTGGAAACCTTAGAAGTATGTTATCTAAGAAGACTCTTTGGGTGCATTGAATTAAAACACTGAGAGACAGAACATACTTTAAACCTCCCCCACCTTCCTTTTTTTGTCTAAGATCTGCTCATTAAAAATAAAATCAAGGATACAGCCCAGACTAAGTGTTTATTGATGAGTAATATGTGACATTCAAGTCAGCAGTTATATTTGTAAAATATCTGTATTTTTTATTTCCCTCTGCTTAGGAAACAGTTTGAGAAATTTATTGCAGTATTCAAAGAAAAACTCCTTATTGGGACCTGTAGGGTGGGGAGGAGAGAAAGGCGAGAGGTGACATGGGATGTACAGATGTGGACATTATTAATTCTTTTACCACCAGCAACAATGAACTGATAAAATTCATTCCAACAGACTGTTTTAAGAATGTTTTAAACTTTTGTAATCATTTCGGAAGATGTTTCTTTGTAGAAAAGTAATAAGCTTAATGTGACTAGGTGATTTTTGTTGCTGAGACGTTCCATTCATTTCTTCCCACCTCACTAAGCTTGCTGCATTTAACCAGCCATATGCAAGATTCTGTCTTTTTTAAAAGCTGTAATAGTGTGAAAGTGAATTTTAAACTCCCCTAACAACCAACAGTAACATAGAGAAACAGGAGGCTGCAGTGCCCACTCAAAGCTAGCCAGCACATTCAAGTACTTTTTTTGCAATATTTTTTTATGAACAGACCTAGAATGATTCACCAAACAGAGTGTATTTACATTATTTTTAGCAAATGCATTTCACTGTGCTGAAGAAGTAATCAGAGTTGCAATTAACACAAAGTAAAATCAATAAAGACTGTGTTTTCAGGAATCATTGATTTAAAATAAATTAATTCTTATCCCATGAAATTTCCATTTAGTTAATATTTTTATTTTATATCATTACCAAGACATTTGCGTACACATAAATTGTTGTAATAGAATAATGCACAAAAGAACAATGGGAAAATATACATGTTTTTTTAATATATATATATACACCCTATATTATGTATAGGTATATATACATTGTATGTATGTATGTGTACGTATATACGTCTAATGTATGTTAACGGAGAGCTAGTAATATATGTCTAGGTTAAACACATGATAAAAAATAATGAAAAATTAGCCATTCATGATAAGGAAAAGGAATGAGTTCTATAGTTAAGATCTAATGTGGGCTGAGGGAAAAGATTGAGGACATGTTACCAAATCAATTAAAGAAGGAAAATTTGAGCTGAATAATACAGACGAGAACCTTCAGGTAGAAGTAGGAAAAGAGCAAGAAAAGAGAACAAAGATTGCTACACGAAACAGCAAATCTAAAAGGAGACCACAGCTGTCCGAGTCAGATCACAGACCTGATTCTGCTGGAAATTCACTCACAGAAAAAAATAAAGCAGGAAAACTGGGGAATTATCCTCTGTGCATATAAATTACTGCAAAAATACTGACGTCAGTGGATATAAACTGTGCAATGCTGTTTGAGTATATGGCATGCAGGGTCTTTCTATATAGTACAGACATTTTGTCTGCCGCTATGTTTAGCAATGACTTAGCCAAATTTTTTCCTTCCTGTCACTGTTGATGTGCTTTGCAATTTCCCACCTTTCTGCTGACCTCCACAATAGAGATGGTGTTATTTCAACGGTGGCATTTTGAGATGACTGTAGTTGAAATACTAAATAAATCTAAAAAATGCATCCATTGCTTTCACTTTCTTCAGGCTACACTTTATTCTCAGCTATGCTAATACAAATCCAAAGCAAATGAAAAGATATGTGGTCAGGTTTTGACAGAGGGAGGAAAAGTAGATGAATAGAGCCAATATAAAGTAAAGATTTCACTTCAGTAGCTAGAGGTGTGTCAATGTGAGGACACGTGAACACTGAAAAACTGACAGGAAAATTAAATTATGCACAAAGCTAAAAATAGTTATACTGGAGATATAAACAAAAATCTGAGAGGGGAAAAAAGATGGAAAAAGTATAATTTTAGGGTAGGTAGTTTGAGACATTCCTTTGAATTTCTTTTAAAGTTTTTTTTTGTGAAGAAAATAACTGTAGGTCAATGCTTTTAGGTAATGGATGTTGCAAACTGTTCCTGTCTTTGAAAAGGATTGTTTTTTACTTTCTGAAACATGAATGATCCATAGGCACCAGATGTTTTTTTTTTTTTTAATGTAAGCCAAAGATATTAGCTTTAGATTTCTTTGAGAAGTTGAGAGAGCTGTTGTCAATCTATGCATTTTAAAAGATGATACTATTTTTATTAGTTTTCAAGACATTTCTGTCACTATACTTATTATTTTTGCATTACTGTACCCTCTATCTCTAATCCTTTGACAATTCTGTATTTGTGGCATCTGGGATCTAAATCTCATAACATGAAGGACATCTCAAAACATGAATTTCTTAAAACATTAAGAAATACTTTCACACACATTTATTGGAGGCAGATTTATTGCTGAATGAACTGGAATTTCCATCTCTTTCCAGCTCCATAGCGGCCACTGGCATCTTCTTGAATGTTGTCATACCTCTCATCTCCCTAACACAACAAGAATTTCATCCCCTTTCCCCTGTTCCCTTTCAGAATATGTCTGGATTCTTTGAAATGGTGACATACATGTATGTGGAAGACCATACAATGCTGCCACTTTTTTTCCCATGACCTTGTGATTCAACAGACTAGCGGGCAATGAAGTAGTTATAAAAATGAGCAATCAGCAGAATGTTGCTTAAATCGCTTTTCCCAAATTAAATCATTGAAAGGTAATGTAGAAGTAAACATAGGCATGAAAAAAAAAATTACATTTTATGTGTTATTTCCTGAATAACCTATTCATGAGCTCAGACCTGCAGTCAGGATTTCATTGATCAACATGTGTTGATTTTTTTTAATAGTAATTTTGCTTGAAAATTTAGCCCAAAATATTTTAATGTCCTCATATGCATAATTCTAAGACCTCTCAATGAAAAGTTAGTTTTTATTAGTTTATGAGGTCATTTATGCAATTTTGGTTGTATCAGGGCTTTTTCGAGGAATCTTGGTGTCAGACTAGAGAATAGCACATTACCCCTCTTTGTCTGATTAGATGATTCTATATGCTTTCTGGATTTTATTAGCTGGTTTCAAACACATTGGAAAAAATATAAAAATAAATATATTTCATCTCTGAGCTTTGTAACAGAGAAAATAGTTAGAGCCAGTAGCATCTCCCCTGGATTCTAGGAGAATGGTATTACCCTGCCTTTCTCTGAGAGATTGCTGGTTACCTTCTGTCAGTGAGCAACTGTCTCACTGGAAAGCAGAAGCACGATCTCATCTCTTTTGTCTGTGTTCAAGGCAATTACTTCTTAGAAAGTGGAATTTCTTCAGAATGACTATGTACAAGAGCAAACGCAGAAACCAAAGATGTAAGTAAATTGTAAAGTTTTTTTAATGTTCTTACAGAGGAGGGAAAAATAAATCTCCAGTTTCATTGAAAACCATGCTTTACTTCACACTGCTCTGGTTAAATAATACCAGAAAAGCAGGAACAGTATTCCCTGCCAATTATCCCACTGTATCTATATGTTAAGTGCATGAAAGAGCTTTAAAATAAAAAATTAGCTCACTTGTTACTATGGAAACCCTCAGTAAGTGATTGCTTTATAATATCAACAAAGAAATAGAGATCAAATGTAAGTTTAGTTTAGACCAGCATCCTTTATTGAGGGCTTAATGACTGGCTAGCTGTAGCCTTTGACTTGTCAGGGTTGACAAGCTTTCACTTGGTGGACTTTTTTATGTGGTTTGCTTTAGGAAGCCAGCAATACCAGAACTTTAAGGGCAGTTATTTTATTTTCCTTCACCACAACTTTCAGAAGAATTAACTAGTTTGCTTAAACCACAGAAACAGAAACTGGGGTGGGGGGGAGGGAAGCACGCATGTGCCTCTGTTGTGTATTTAAGACACTCCAGCCCTGAAAATTCACTGGCTTCTAAATGCATGAGTTCCAGTCAAGCACCTGTTTGACTTTTTAAATTTCTATGGCATCAGCCAGCAGAATTTCAGTACTAATCTTGTGTCCTCCAGAGCATTAAGGAAGGATGACTGAGGCAAGTAAAAATGAAGTGCTGTGGGTCAGGTCATGAAGTATGTGTTACTGTAAGAAAATCTAGCAAGAGGCCAAGTTATAAATGGAGAGCATGTCTGAGGCTGAGAAAAAACACATTCCTCTAAGAAAAATGCCATGTAGAGACTGTGTGCTTTCAGGGAGAGAGCAGGAGGGGAGGTATATCAATTTGGAAGAAGATAAGTTTGGACTGTATTTGGACAGGAGCATTGTTACTGTTCAGAGTTGAAGGGATATATACAGCTGTATCACTGACCTCAGTTTCTGGTCCTTAGAGCTTCATCTGTACAGGTCTCCAGTTTTTCTTGCCCAAAACAAATGGATGTGTTGCATGTAGAAAGTTTGCAGGACAGATCTCTGCTAAAATCTTTGCAACAGAAATCAATCATCTGCTTCACGTTCAAATAAAATAAATTATCATAAATTTTGTTCCCGTAGCAGCAGTGAAAGAAAATTATTTATATACAGGCAGATTATAATTAATCTAGTTCATTTTAACATACTAATTACTATCACTGTTATTATGTAAACCAGGAGCTCTTTCTATAGCCAGCTGCATTCTTGCATTCTCTCCTGTTCAAGCCTGGTTATGGTGTACAATAACAAAATTTGTGACTGGGTAGCTGAGTTGTTAGGTTTTTTGTTGTAGGGATATAGTCATTCATGAAAACTGCACAAGATGCTTTTAAGAATGCTTTTATGAAGAGAACCTGCCTTATTCCCCTTTCCCCTCCACCCCTGCTGACCCCGAGGAAAATCTGTGATTTGCCAAGAGAAAAAAAAAAAAAAAAAAAGAATGAAACATAATTAGAATCAAATTTGTAATTATGAGGATGGCTGTAGCAATGTTTTTTGTTTTTAAAACTGTCTCTAATTTTAAGATCCTAATCAATAAAATGTCTCAATAAAACTGTCTCCTTTATATTAGATACCAGTACTGTACACATGGATGTTTCATTAATATCTCTTAGTTAATTAGCAACTGCAAAAGCCTTAACAGACAAAGAAAACAATTTGAGTAATTTTGATATTGCTACTATTCATATCACTCAAAGGCTTTTTGAAGGATAGATTTCATCTAAGTAATTGTTATTCTGAAATACAAGGGATAATGGTAGCAGCTGTGTTAAACAGTAGACAAGTACTACATTTTCTGTCCATTACATTTAACACATGTTCTATTTCAAACTTGAAGGCATTTTTGGTGACCCTTAATAAACAATTAAAAAAAAATAGTATATAATTTCCAATATATGTAGGGTAAACCTTGGGGTTTATATCTCCTCACTACCTCTCAATAAAACACTTGAACATCTGGCATAAAACAAAAGTGAGCTTTGTGGCTTTTTCCTATTCATTGAAATTCTGCTTCTGGATTTGGTACATTCTGAACAGTATTATAAGCATTGCTTTCCTAACCCATTTTTTTCTTTAATGTTTGAAGAAGGATGTAAAGGCATTTTGTACTTAATTTAAAAGTACATCAGATTAGAGAGGAGGATAGAACAAATAGAGACATGATGACCTTTTTCTAACATAAAATATAAGGAATGCCCATTTCCAATTTCTGTCCCAGGTACAAAACTCTTGCTAGGGGAGTAGATGCAAAAAAAATGGGTCTACTTATCTGTCTGTATGAATGGGATAAAGGTTCCCTATATATTTTTTCAGCTGCAGCATTATACATAAGACTTCTAAGTTCAAAACTAATCTTAATATTTCACTTTCATTGTACCTTTGGGTTTGATTCTAGTCAAAGTGGAACTCATATTGAGTAGTTAACATGTTTTATTTATTCCATACATAGTTGTAACTAGTGAGACTTAAAAATAAATATCACAGTAAACTGTGAAACTTGCAACACTAAACAAAATTCAGATTAAGGCTATTTCTGTATGAGTGTTTGTGTGTACCTACCTACGCATATACATACAATCTCCACGCGTACATGTGTCTGCACACCCAGATTTATAGCACGCTTTATCCTTAATTCAGGATGTTATCCAACTGATAGGTTGGATTCTCGTTTCATTGCACAGACCTAAAGGCTGAACGATGGGAAACCATTGTAACAGTTGCAATCTTATAAACACTGAAAAATTGGTAAACGTGTAGTAAAGTCTTTCTGAAATAAAAGGTTTGAAGCTTAGACTGACCTGTTTTGGGGCTGCAGCTGCTAAGGAGGATGGTCAGGGTAAGCCTTGCGGTAAGCTGCAGTGCACATGTGGGTATTCTCCATGGAGAGGCAGTCATTCACATCTTCTGGAGATGCCATGCCTCCAAGCCTCTTCTCATGAAGAAAGTAGCAGGCATCCAGTTTTCATTGGGTTCTTTCTTGTAGACTTCACTGTTACAGGAATCAAGGCAGGCTACTACCCTTGAAGACAATAACATTGGAAAAAAATTGACTTACCTATAAATCAACTTTAAGAAATTCACATCATTATTGTGATGTGTATGTGGTGGTTAGTGTAGATTCACAACTTAAATCAGGACCACATTGTGGAGGGCTGTGTATGAAAAGAATGAAAAGATGATCCTTAATGATGCTTCAGTCTAACACTGTAAATTTGACTCAGAAGAAATGCAAGAGGAGAAAGAGACAGTAATGGCCAGTGTGGCAGGCAGCTGTGTTTTAAGGAAGGTGTGCAGCAACACCTGGGAGGAGATGACAGAGTGATGCCTGGAGTGCAGAGGCTAGTGTGGGACTTCCGTGTTACACACCAGAACTGGGGGTCGGAAAGTTAAGGTAAAGATGGAAAAATTAAGAGGAAAAATAGGACTTATCTTTTGCTTTCTTCAGCTTCATGGTTTTGGTGCTTCCTGGAATCTTCTATGCATGTCAGCAATGGCAGTCAGAGCACAATGACAGTTGAGGCAAAGAGCAGTTACTTTTGAATATTAGGAACCACTGATAAAGTCAACTGTTATCATAAGTGCAGCTACAGATCCTGCCCCATTAATTCCAAGGCATCGATCCCAAACTCATTCATGACAATGGGAAGAACCCTGTCAACATAAAATGGGCCTGAAATTGTGCTCCAAATGCATTAATGACTTCTGCCAAGGCTTGGCTACCAGCTCCATGTAAAATATCTGTTTCCATGGCATATTACAGTTTGCTTAGCTGAAATAGTCATTGCTATTTTTTATGCTGACATGCTGTGAACAGTATTTTTTATAAAGTATCATCCAGATCTTGTGAAGATTTTGCTTCTTTTAAAACCAACAGATGATTAGTTGTATTTCAGGGGTTTTTTTAAAAAGTAATGAGAGGGTAGACATCATACTTCCTTTTATTCTGGCAATTTCTCTCTCCTCATAAGACATGTCACAACTTTACCTGTAATTGTCAAATGTATCATGATTCTTTGCCCTCAGTCCCCAATTTTGTTTGTCCAGTCCTAGGTTTCCCTGCATGCAGAGTGCTGTAGAAAGTATCACGTACCCATCTCCTTTTTACCTCTTAGGGCAATAAAGGGACCCCAATACCGAGGTGGCTGCTGCTCAAAGAAAATAGCAGCCTTTAATACAATGTGTGCTAGGAGTTAAAGTGATCTCATTGGGGAAAACAAGTGTAGTTACTGACCCAGATACATATAAGAAAACTCTGCCTCTTTCCTTAAAACATCAGAGACCCAGACAACAAGGGAATATCTCTTCAGCATGACATAGAGACAGCTTTCTTCATGTAAAGCTATCCTAGAATAGCCCCAGGATATTCCTATTGCTGCATACCTTTTGAGGAAGTAGAGTTCAGCACAATTAAGTGTATCAGTAATAAGGCAGAGCAAGAAGGCCCTCATGACCTGCAAGAGTACAGATGTCATTGAATATTCACATCACATGGATAACATCTTTATACAAAAAAAAATATAATTGCTACTCAACAAGTCAGGGGCTCGAGGGATAGAAGCACTCTTAACATAGCTTTGAAGGGAATTCATTGTGACCTGGGAAAGTTGGCTTGTTTGAAATTATTCATTTCCCAATGTTACTAAACAGTGAAACTTAAGACATATGTCCCTTAGTGAAGCATGCAGGGTAAATAAGCTAGAATTTTTTCTTTCACAATTTTTCAAGTGTCTGTGTAGACTTCTAAAGCAGGCAAGTTTTTTCTGCTTCTAGACTGTACAAGTGAATCAAAAGTATTGAAAGGTAATTGTTTCAAAAAGCATCTTCTGAGAGATTAATAATCTGACCAAACCCTACATGCACAACTCACGTGATGCTCCCCATTGCTCGGTAGGAGTCTGCCTCAGGAAGAAAAACAAAAGTAGGTTTTTTGTCCCTGTAGA